GATCGGTGGAGAGAATGATTGCTATCCTGACTGAAAACTATGGAGGCAAATGGTATTGTATTTTTATTTTATACAGGTAGTCCTCGACTTACAACGATTCATTTAGTGACCATTCAGAGTTACCACACTGAAAAAAAGGGACTCATGACCAGTTTTCACACTTACCATTTCAACATTCTCATGGGCAAGTGATCAAAATTTGGGTGCTTGACAAGTGGATGTATTTATGATAATTGCACTGTAATATAACTGGCTTCCGACAAGCAAAGTCAATGGGGGAACCCAGATTCACTTAACAACTGTGGCAAAAAAGGTGTAAAATGGGGCACAACTCAGTTACTGACTGTCTTGCTCATCAACGAGCTTCATTGTGGTCATAAGTCTAGGACTACCTGTACACAAACATATGAAATCACAACTGTCAGTTACAATTATTATTATAATCGTACTCCATACAATTCAAGGTGGTGTGTATAATGTCCCTGCTTGCTATTTTCCCTACAACAACCCTAAATAAGGGGGCTGCATTTAGACATTGTAATAAATCAAAATGTGTCATAGAAAAGAACCTTACCTTCTTCCTGGGTTTGCACATTCTCTCTTCCATCTCCTCTGTGCAGCCTTTGGGAGCTACTTGGCCACGATCGAATCTTGATCAACAAACTGATTTTAACTGCAGTTGTTGGAAGATTGTGAACTTCAAACCACGAGCTGTTTCAATGTACCAGGGTTAAGATTAATTGCATTTTAAGCCTGCAGATTTAATTACAGCTGCTCTCAAATCAAAGGAAAATCTTTTTACCTTGCAGCCGGACTGCAGGGGAGGATTTAATGAGATCTGGTTTTGCTTGAGTCTATGAGCGGCCTGTGAATCTGTCACCCACCCAGTGGGGGAATTTTTATTCTTTGGAAGCCATAACTATTTAGGGAACAGGTGGTCTTCCAACCACTCAATGCAGCTTTTATTCAGATGTCCATATAGTTGCAGTTACAGGTAATCCTTGACTTACAGCCATTTGTTTAGCACCCATTCAAAGTTACAATGGTGCTGAAAAAACTTAACTTATGACACCATCTTATTAAAGCCATGTAAGAAACCTGTTACATTTGATTTAGAAAATTCGTTCAATCTCAATTAGTTGGTAGAATTAGGATATCAGATCAGGATCTGACCTATTCTGAGCTACAAAGAATAATTCCTTTTCTGATTCTGTAAGAAATGTACAATTTTGAAGCCCATTCTGTGTGTACTTTCTAAGAAATTCTTACAATTAATAGCAATGCAGGCGGTTATTATTGCTAACCCTCCCCCCAAAGGTAGCAATAATCAGCTGTTATCATCAAACATATAGTAATGATTTCTGTTGCTTCTTTCTTGTGCAAGGCCACTCTGGATATCTCCTCAGCAAGTGATGGTAATACCAGTTGGACCAACGTGTGATGAATATGCACAAAAGGTAAGTTTTAAATTTTATTTTGTTCTATATGCAGAATCAACTCAGGTACACCTAAAGATGTGAACAATATCCAAAAAGAGAATGGCAAACTCCTTGGCGAAAAAGTCTTGCTTTTTGAGGGCAGCATAGATGGATTCTATGTTGTCAGAGACTAAAGTCCAGAAATCCTTTTAGGAATATAAACAAAACCCACACAAGAACAGATGCAAACCACTCTTTATATGTACAGTAGCTCCCAGTTTGGCCTGATTTACAAATCCATTTTGAAAGTGAACATTTGTCAAAAGGGAACTGAGAAGTGGATCGCTAGCTGTCCAATAGAGAGGAATGTTTGGAGAGATTTGTCTATTTAAGTGTGATTAAAGGCTGTTCTGCTTGGGTGTTTAGGGAAGTTGACTGCAGTTATATGTGTATTTATGCATGCATGTAATGTTTCCAATGGAAAAACTTTATTGCTATGTTCTTGAGTAATCTATATAGATCAGAGTCACAATTTGCTTTCATCTCTGCATATACCTGCATATCTTTGAAAAACATGTTATCCAAATACTTACCATATAAATATTGTAGGGCTTAACTTTTAAATATTAATTTGATTACAGACTCTGTGATTTCCAAATGCCATATTTGTGAAGCACAACTTGCTATTTTGATTTGAAGAATTGCAAACCCCCAAATGCCTTTTTCTCCAGATGTTTGCTTTAAACATAATCTAAACATTGCTAATTTGATTCTCTCAAAGGTGAAGCAACAGTTCCATGATGCTGGCTTAATGGCGGATGTTGATGTGGACCCTGGTTGTACTCTGAATAAGAAGATCAGAAATGCTCAGCTTGCCCAGTACAATTTTATTTTAGGTAAACATATCCTGTGCAATGTGTATGTCTAGCTCCATTTGAGCAATATCTACTTTAAAGTATTATTCAGAAGCTAATTAGCTGTTTCCTGCTTGTTAATGTATGAAGTTGCTGTTTTGCCAGCAGCATTCTGACATGCAAGAAAAGCACATTTATTTAGATGCATGAGTTCTCCCTTTAATTGGTGCCATCTTTGGAACAAATCTGAGCTTCCAGGCCTATATATTAAATTTTACTAGCTCTTCATTTGTAGCAATAGACCTTTGGCACAAATCTCAGTCAACTGCTCTGCTAGCTTCTCAGATTGACAGAAAATGTTGAGAGCTACGCTATATCAGAAGCTCTTCTCTTTAATCCAGTGTTTCTCAACTGTGGTGATTTTAAGGTGGGTGGACTTCAACTCCCAGAATCCATCTGTTGAGTTGCATCAGGTCAAATCTATTATTGTTGTAGACCAGCATAAGAAGGGTGAAATACAAACAATAATTTTAAAGCTAAAAAATATATAAAATATACAAAGTTAAAAAACATTTTAAAATAAAAATTATATATTAAATAAAGTCCATAAAAGTTAATATATTTGTTGAGTTGGAGTTCACCTGTCTTAAAGTTGCCACGGTTGAGAAACACCGTGCTATTGAAACAACTAACAAAAATGTTGTGCTGTTTTCCTATCAAATACATAGACAACACCAAACACAATTGTTGCACACACACTATATGGTTCCCCTTTTTATTTTATCACCTTCCTCGTGCCTTTATTTGCAAGAGGAAAGCAGGTATAAGTAGGCCCATCCTACTTTATGAATTTGCATCTATTTTGCTTTTGTGTAAATACCTTGAAATGCAAATAGCATGCAGAACCTACTTCAAATAAATATTTGTTGATTTCCTGTTCCTGTTATTTGGGAATGAAATCCAGTTCATGGTATTTCTATAATAGAGCTGTATATCAGCAGTGATTTTTCTGTCAATTTTTAATCACATATCTAAACTGCAGTTGCCATGATAAAAGCAGAGAGGAGTCAGAAGAGCACAGAAACAGTAATACAGCAATTTCAAATATTTCTGATATAAGCCTGCCCTGCAGCTCCTGACAAAATGCCCGGAAAGTATGAACTGTCCCTTTAAGCAAACAATTTTATTTCTAGTCTTCTGATGAGATTATTTAACAGTGTTTCTCAAAGTTGGCATTTCTAAGATGCAGCTTTGGCTCTGCCAGTCTGCCAAGCCTAGAAGCTTCTAGAATTCCACTGGGGAATTCTGGGAATTGAAGTCCACTCATCTTAACATTGCCAATTTGAGAAACATTATGTTAAATAATCTCATTTAACTTCTAATCTAATAATAATAATAATTAATAATAATAATAAATAAAAATAAAAATAAAAATAAAAATAAATAAATAATGTTGGAAGGTACCTTGGAGGTCATCGAGTCCAACCCCCTGCTCAGGCAGGAACCCTACACCATTTCAGACAAATGGCTGTCCAGTCTCTTCTTAAAAACTTCCAGTGTTGGAGCATTCACCGCTTCTGGAGGCAGGTTGTTCCACTGGTTAATTGTTCTAACTGTCAGGAAGTTTCTCCTTAGTTCTAGGTTGCTTCTCTCCTTGATCA